AAACAGCAGTGATAAACCCTTATGAAAGCACCTGTTTTCTCCATTTCTCTTCCCACTTTCTGACAGTCAGATGCTTCCACCCAGAGCCCTCTGCGGCAGGCTGGCAGCCCCCAGGACTACGCCAGGGTTTGCCATGGGGTGGACGCCAACAAGCTACTTTGCTTCCCTGCGGCTTCTTTCACCCACCTATAAAGGGCTCTGTGGAGCTGCTTGTAAAGCTCTTCGGGGATCTGTAAAGGAATAATTTCATTTTCTGTAAAGAAAAATATTACAAACAAAGTAACATATTTTTTTTTAGGTAAAAAGGGACAGTTCTTGCTGGAGGCGCAAAGCAATATTCCTCACACATTTCACACTGCAAATATCAAGGGAATCTCATTAAACATATTCCATTTCATCTTTAGGCTGAAGACAGAGCCATACCTCCTTCCCAGGAACTGGGGACCTACAATATCACCAGGATGACATCATTCTTGGTTATAAAACATGCTGCATGCTCAACTTGGCACTCAGCATGCTCAGGTTAAGCTAAGAGCTAATGTAATGAACTCTATGGAAGGATTTACATCAAATACCACTTTGGAATATTAAATATAGACAGGAGCAACTTCTCACTTGAATAATTACACACTGGCTAAATTTATTCTTTCATTTCAAAGCCAGGCAATCACCTTTCCCACTTCCTCTCTAAAATTGTGTGCATTGGTGTGCTACTTCACTACCTCAAGAGAGACATGTGATAAAAGGATGAAGTAACTTCTGTTAATTACCATGGGCTGAACTAAGATCAGTTTTAGCTCTAGCAATGACTATTGCCACTCGAGGGGGGGAGCAAGCAAACCGAGAAAAGAAAGATTCAAATTTCAACGTGTCCACAGCTGCTTGTGTTTTCTAACATAGTCTCAAAGGCAGAGGTGCCTGCAAACACTCCTGAACTTCACTTTGTATGTGGGAGTACAGCACAAAAGACCTTGCACACATATCCCCACTGCCCCAGTAACAATGCAGTGCTCACAAGCTGTTTCAGCTAACTATGTATTCTCCTTCTGCTTGTGGATACCAGTCTAAGGCTTTCAGCCATTATAGGGTATTTTTCCAGGCTCACTTTAACTTGAATCAGAAAAAAATATATTTTCTTGTGGTAACAGTTGCTGTAAGCAGCAAGAGTCAGTTTGAAAGGCAGAGTTTAGTTCCAGTGTTATGGCTGTGTGTTTGAGGGAGATGTTCAGCCAGCGGAAGTTAAGGGAAAGACTCCTAGCAAATGGGAACAGAACCAATATAGAAGCTGGCTGAGAAGGGAAAAAGTGGAACATCAGAAGACCAGAAGATTGTTTCCTGGCCTAACACTTACTGTTAAACCACAGGCAGGGCTTGAAGGTCCAGGACTTCAGAGGTGTTTAGAAGCCTCAAAGCCATTTTTCTTAGTGATTCTGGGCCCTCTGGCCTTCCTTGTTAAAGAGAATACTAGTGCTTGGCTTTGTAGGGCTTGAAAAGCTGAGTCCACTGAGGTTTGAGTGGGAAGCGTGGGAGGAGATTCTTAAAGATGTTAAAGAAGGGGGAAAAAGGAAAACATGAGACACTTTTGCCTAGTAACATTCAGAGCAGGCACAGAGAGAAAGCATTTGGTGGAGTTAAACCACAGAAGTCCTTTGCCCACAGAGCCATAGCTCCAGCACAACAAAAAATCACCGAAGCACCTGGATGTCCCCTTTGTTCTGAACAAGCAGTACAGGGACAGGGCAGCAATTTAAAAGCTCATTTTCTGCATCCAAACATCACGTCAGAATGAAATGCACTCCATCCTGCTATCATTTAACGAGCACCCCTGGGACCACTGTACCTTGGAGGCATGATGTCACACACCAGCAGAGAGATTATTTGTTTTGAAGCTTGTGAATAGCTCTGAGACTTCATTTCAAAGCACTCACAGAGTCATGACTCAAACCCTTCTGGCCTCACAGAAAGGCACAACTGACTACAGTCTCCCTGTGCTGTTTCTGAGCATCCTGTAAGGGATTATTAGAAAGCTATTATCCTTTCTTCTCTTTTATGTAGGAATGGCTTTGCCGTTGCTTCAATTTTTTCACGTTCAAGACACATTTTCCTAAGTGTCTTAGCAATGATGTCTCTGCTGAGACAAGCAGAGACACTCACTGCGAAAAGCACTGCAACAACAACAAAAAGGCATTAATTCCATTTCAAGTGATTTTTAATTTATATATAGCCATTGGGAATATTGCAATATGAAAGCCATCTCCAGACCTGCGACAAGGGAGCTGTGCACACCACCTGTCTGGTTTCTCCTTTTGTCAGAATAAGCAATTATTACTCAGAATTTTTTACAAGGGAACAAGATATTAGTCTAGGGCAATTTGCTGAGAAGCCAACATTTTTGTTAGCAGACCATAATAGTTCATGCCCACCTGGAAGCAATTACAGTGATACCCAGGTTTAGCAGCAGTATTACTTGATAGAAAATTTTAGCATGCAGCATGGAAAATAGAACCAGTCATTCCAAATGGGTCATTTAATGCTGAATTGCTGAACCTTATTCAGTTTTAAAACAAAAAGCTTTAAGATTAAAACCCCGAAGATGCATAAAGAACCTCTCCATCATGTCTACATGGGAATTTACTCTTGCATTAGCCTTAAAACAGGAACAAATGGAAAGTGCATAAGACTGCCAGCCTGACTGAAATTGGGAACAGTTTCAATCACACTCAGTTCACCTTCCATGGTGAAGGACCATCAGTAAACCCATGGTTTTCTCCAGCAACGCTCCATCACTGAGTGACAGTTCAAAAAGCATGAGAAGAGATACTAAACTGGAAAGGGTTCAGAGCACAAGGCATGTGATGTTGCTATGTAATCTTGGAGGATAAAGGAAGGGGATCTGGAATGGCTGAAGAATTTGCAGTGGCATACAGAGACATCTGAGTACTGGAGTGATAAATATCACGTTAGAGCTATTAGTGCTCCACAGCAAGGCCTGGAGTCACCCCCACAGAGTGGACATATCCTCACACTGCACAGAAGGCTTCAGAGGTGTAGCTTGTAGAGAGAAGCTCAGTGGGAAGAGATCTTAGGTGAGGATCAGGCATTGTGGTGCCAGACTTTAATTATAATCTCTCCTTGGCAAATTTAGATGGACAGAAGAATGAACAGAGCTGCAGTCAATGCCTGCAAATCAGTGTTTTATGTTAAGTGAAATTATTGTACACCAATATGGACATAAATCTGGCTGATACAGAAGGTTGATTAGCACAGCTCTACACTCCAAGTAATAGCAATAAAGATGCAGTGTGAGTTTCAGGGAATTAATCATATCTTTTCAATGATGATCCATCAGGCCTTTTTATAGCAGATTAAATTAACTGCTTTTACCATTCATTAATATAACTCAGATATTAACTATGCTTATGAAGAAATATTTTTTTCTGGCCAATTCTGTTTAATATCTTTATTGATGATCCAGACAAGAGGAACGAGTGTGTCCTCAGTCAGTTCACAGATGACACTAAGTTGGGTGGGAGTGTCAATCTGCTGGAGGGTAGAAAGGCTCTGCAGAGGGATCTGGGCAGGCTGGATTGATGGGGCAAGGCCAGTAGTATAAGATTTAACAAGGCAAAGTGCCGGGTGGTTCCTGCATTTGGGTCACAACAACCCCCTGCAGCGCTCCAGGCTGGGGGAAGAGTGGCTGGAAAGTGGCCTGGTGGAAAAGGACCTGGGGGTGCTGGTTGACAGTGGCTGAACATGAGCCAGCATGTGCCCAGGTGGCCAAGAAGGCCAATGACATCCTGGCCTGTTTCAGGAATAGTGTGGCCAGCAGGACCAGGGCAGTGATCATCCCCCTGTACTCGGCACTGGTGAGGCTCAGGGGAGACCTTATTGCTCTCTACAACTCCCTGAAAGGACATTGTAGCCATACAGAGATTGGTCTCTTCTCCCAAAAAACAAGTGATAGGATAAGAGGAAATGGGCTCAAGTTGCACCAGGGGAAGTTTAGATTGGATATTAGGAAAAGTTTCTTCATGGAAAGGTTTGTCAAACATTGAAAGAGGCTGCCCAGGGAAGTGGTCAGGAGTCAGGATTAATGGCTGGACTCTATAATCTTACAGGTCTTTTCCAGCCTAAATGATTCTATGATTTTATGATTTTTATCTGCAGTCTCTGGGCCCACATGCTGTTACCCTTCCTCTCCCATCCTCATTGCAGCAGACAAGTGGAGGAGATGGTGTGATGCAGTTTCCCTCTAACAGAGATGGTGGAGCTTTTCCTTGAACTAGGCACAGGAGCCTGCAAGGAACAGAAGAGATTAATACCAGGTAGCAAATTCAAGCTGATTACAATAGGTGCATGTATAAGGAAACACAATGTCGTATTGCCAGGAAAATATGAATTCTGTATAGGAAGGGAGAGCGCATAAGCAGGGTAAGGGCAGCACTGGCAGAAAGGCTTGACACTAACATGAACAAATGGTGGTGGCCCATCAGCCTCACTGGCTTGAAAGGAAGGAGAAACAGAGAAGCTGGTAACACCTGGAGAGGTCACCTCTTCCTTACTTACCTGCTTTAAGGCTCTACTGCTGCAGTCCCTGGACTGCTCCATCATCCACCTCTCCCCTGCTTGTGCTTCTTCAGGAATGGTTCGAAATGTCTCTAAAGTCGATTGCCTCTGCAGTGTCAACAGTCAGCAATTCTTTCAGTGCCTCTGGAGTTCCTTTCTTCAGTGGAACGCAGTGTGACACTGCTTGTAGCTGTGAAGAGACTGGTCCAAGGGCACACGAGGGTTTGATTGGCTTGCCAAGGGCAGGCCACAAACACAGGGGCTTGCCAGCCATAAACCACCTTTCATCACCCTTATGCCAGTCCAACTCCCTCAACTCTTCCCTTCCCCAGACAACAAGTATCTTAGTTATTTTTAAAAGAATTTCACCTGTTTGTTATTCTGCAAACTACAAAGTAAATATACATTTCAAATGAAATGGGTAGGACTTGACACTTCTTAAAATATACATTTTATTATTTTCTGGTAGTTGCTATGAAGGTTTCATTCAAATTGTGAAGGTACACAGCCTTTACAAACTTCTTGAGTTAAAGATTTTTGTTGGTGGTTTCATGTTCTTTTTCTTTCATGGCAAAGGAAAATACATAGGCTATAAAATGTTGAAATTCATTAGATGCTTAGTATCACCTCTTCATATATGCTGTGGAATGCTTTCTAGAAATACTTTATAAAATAAGGCAGACTTTAACAGGGAATTCAGTCGTAAAATTTCATGGGAGAAAACAAAGAGTTCCAACATAATATTATTTTTGTAGCCAAGAGAAGATCAGGTGGTCGTCACTGGTTTGTGGGAGAACTACTGCAGTTCTGGTGCTCAGACAGTATACAGTTCATGTTTATTCTACTATTCTCAAGTGAGACCTTTTCAATAAAACTTATTTTAATTAACATAAATCAGACAATATTTAAACATACACATCTATCCTTACAGTGCAATAAAAATGTATCATTGTATAGTATTTTGTATTTGCATTATGAAAATAAAAGGTCTGTACATCAATTAAATGTATATTAATGAGTATGAATCATGTAAATTTATAATGCATCTAAAGTTGGCTTTGGCTTTTAAGTATTTATAAATTCATAGAAAATATTGAACATCTAACAAAATAAATAAAACATAACATTTTAATCATAGATGCTAACGATCAACCTCAAAAATTCTTGTGTTATTTTTTACATTTGCTACTAAATTTCTTAAGGAGAACTCACTTTCAGTAGTGCTCAGAAGTGAATGATTGCACCTTCTGTGATGTGAAAAAATACAGTACATCTATTTTCATAGATCAAAAATTCTTTCATAGACAGTTGCATTTTAAGTGTTTGATTGTTCTACGTAACTGTCTTAAGTGCTTATAAAAAGCATGTAGCTTTCTCATAAAAGCTGTGAGTCTCTATTAATAGATAATCTTCTAGTGAATGTCCTTTCTGTGAGGATTCTTCAAGGTCTTCCAGCTTCACACGCTGGTATGAAGATATCGCAAAAGTATGTTCACTAATAAACCCTCTTCAGTACAAGTACTGCAGCAATCCAGTGTAATTCCACTTGGTGGGCTTATTTCATCGGAGTCCACACATGGGAGTTCGTGGAAGTCAACTGCTGACCTTGTGTTCTCTTGAGTTTGAAAGTTCCCCAAGTGCATGGGCTAGCCTTACTGTAATACTGAAGAGACCAAAAAAAATCTGAATTCACATAATAAAAGTGAGCTTGAATAAATATGCATTTGGTTAGTAAATTACACACCATGCTCCAACTGCTATTCTGGTGGTGGTCGAAGGACGCGCAGATTCCTTCCGTCTAATCCTTTCCAGTATTTAATGTTATTATTCAGATGCTCCATCAGATTTGGCAGGTCTGCAAATGCTAGGGAAGAAAGGGCAGAGAGTATTTAGTCTGCAGAACTGAAACAGTCACAGATTCTGTCTGCTTCAGTATCACTTGAAATGTCTGGGCAACTGTGTTAAGTAGAAAAGTTTAAATCTGTCACACTGATACTTGAAATGGTTTTGGCTGTATAGCTCTCATCACTCAAGTAACACTTGGGCCACTGAGAATCGTTCTGTAAGTCTACTTAATACTGGTATTGCAAGTCCCAGCAAAGGGACACAGTTTTCCAGGAGGGGCATAGCTAATTATGCTTGTAATTATTCTGCTCCATCAAATCTCAGTCACATGTCATGATCTGGCATTCAGGAGAGTCACATTTCCGACCACTTTTACCACGGGGGCAGCACTTGGAAGGAAACAGCTGCTCCCTCAAGCAGTTTCCAGACTGTAGAAATTTGTCTTGAAGAATAACCAATATTAACATGGACAAAATGACTGTGCCCAAAGTGCTATCAAAGAGAATGTGTTCTATTTTCCATTTACAGAGAAGCAAGTTTAAAAAGTTAAACATTGCCTGAATCTAGTATATTAAAGAGAAGCCATGAGAATGACTTGTAGCCGTATCAAATATTTCTAAGCTATAATGAAGTTATTAATCTTACTTGAACTGCAGAAATCTTCCCTTTTCTCTCCCTTTCTTTAGGAGCCATAAAAAAGCAAATTTATTTATCTATCACAGCAGTTTCAAATGTTCACAAAATAGTTATCATCAGGAAACAGCAGAATTTTGCTTACCATCCCAGGCATCAAACATATCAATAATGAAGTAATCAATGAATGATAATTGGGATTTGGGGATGCTGCAAGTATTTCTGTCAAAAACTGGCATCACAACAGGTAAACCTTGCCTCCTTTCTTCATCAGTCTGCAAAAAAACCTCCAGTGATTATTCATCTAAGACACATTCTATTAATGGGCTTCTTTTAGCAGCAGATTGTTTGGCACTGACTAGAGCATGTGTCTGCTAAATAAAAGGAGGAACCTGAATAAATCTGAAGCAGCAGCAATTTAATCTTACACACCTATTCGTTCAGGTTTTGGCAAAACAGCAGACAAATAGCCTTCCAGTGTTTCCCACAAAGAGATACATTTACCTTCTACATCTGCACACAAGCTGACCCCACGTAACTTCACACATTACCAGGTTATGACTGTTGCAGAGCTAAGAGGTGCTTAACCATTTTCAATCTCTGACGAAAGTGACAATCTGTACAACTCATAGGTGGCAAAACACCTTTTTTATCCCCTTTCCCTGCACTTGTGTACCAAGCCCCAATTCCAGCATTTGGTCTGTCATCTGTAATAGTGACTCTGCCCTCTCCTTTTCCCCACCTTCCTAAAACCTTTCTTTGGTACAGTGTGCTACTGTCCTACAGTATTTCTTGGAGTGAGTGCTGTTGCCATCCTAACACTAGAACCTGATGATCCTATTCCTGAGGCAAAGCCAGCATATAGGTACACAGAAGGCATCCTTGCTCTGCCTCGTGATGGAAATGTATTTGCAGGCAAGACTCGAAAAGCCCAGCTCCAAACTGAACAATTTGAAAGCTTAAATTTTCAGAAACTGCACTGTAGAAGTTGTCAGCTTTCATCTGTCTGCAGGCATCTAGCATGAGTAATATCCCATCATTTAAAATAAAAAGGTTGTTATTTTTCATGTTCCATATGCACCCTTAGATACTCTGTGACACTGGCAGTATATGCATCCTTTTAAGAGGATGCTCATGTGGAATTTCAGCAGCCCATTTTAGATGCCTTACCTGTGCAAAGTACTCCTCAGAGATGCGTCCAGCCCACTCTATACACTGTTCTATGGGTCTGCATGGATTGGAAATGTCAGCACACTTTATCAACATGCGTTTGATAAGGATACGGTTTTCAGGAGACCTGAGAACAGTTTTGATTGACTCTCCATCACCATTATTCTGTAACATTTAAGAATTAAAAACAATCCATTAGCAAAGTCTCCATGCACTAACTCAAAAGCTTTTGTGCCTTGTGAATGCTTTCAGCAGATCGTACAGGGAGATCAGTCCTGCTACTGGCTACCATATTTTATGTCCAACTGAATTTATAGGGGATTATGAAAGTTAGCCACAGCTCTGAGCTAGCAGTGAACTCCAGTTTCTGGATTCAGTCACTGTCTTTGTGACAGATCTCTTGGGCATCTTTGGGCAAGTCACCTAATCCCTCTATGCCTTATCTGCCGCCTTAAAAGTCTGGAGAGGATCCATTCATCACTACACACATAGTCATGGAGCACCGTGTAGGCAGAAAAATGTAACTCTCTGCTGAAATCCAGGGATTAATGGATTTGCACATTAGGAGTGAAATAGTTTAAAAAAAAGGACTGACCCAAGATGCACAGTCATCCTCAGCACACAAACCTCATCAGGATGGGTATCAATCATTCTGACAGCACTCCTACTATTCAGAGAGTCAGATCCCACACTGCCTCCCAGGCATGCTCCTTACTCCCTTCCACTGGATCCCCATTAGCCCATCAGCCTCTGGTTTGACTGGGAATTTTTGGTTTCTGAGAATCTATCAGTATTAAAGCAATATATCAGAAACATGCTTCCGAACAGCCTCGTCTTTCCTCTGCAGCTCCAGCAAAGTTTTCAACCCACACACAGTTTATATTTGGTTCCCAGGCTACAGCCAGGAGCACGTCAATGGTACTCTATATTTGGAGCCAATACACAGCTAATATGAGTAAAGTCTGTGATGATCCAGATTAGAAGCTATTTTCTGTGGAGCTCTGATGAAGCAAGTTTCCAAAGGACAGAGACCCAGGGTTAATATATCTTTAAAAATTACCTATAAGTACAACATTGTTGTTGGACTCTTTAGGGATGGGTAGGTACAGAAATTTCCAACACTGTCTACTCAGAATAGAAACTCTTTGAAGCTAGGAATATACAAGACTTCTCTGGCACCTAGCAAGGTCTTGCTCTATAGTCAGAGCAGAGAAGAAGTAACTAACAATAATGATGATAATAATAATGTGCCACCCATTCCTGCAGTATTTTGTATGAAGAGGGAGAGAAAAAGCAGCAGAAACATTCTGACCTTTCATTAGGTCAGAATAACCATGACATTTTTCAGAAGAAAATTCTTGTGGGGAAGAAAGTTCTTCCTAAAGGAAGAAACTGACAGTAATAAAAAAAATATTATTAGGTAGTATACTGGCTCAGAAACACCAGCTCCACAGTTCTCAGCAAAATGAGATTCCCAAACCAATTCTTTTCCCTCATTTTTAGGTATGTAGAAGGGAAAACAGAGGAAGCAAAGTGAGGTGCATACATTTCCAAATGCATGGCAAAATTACATAAGCCAAAGCCAAAATAAAGAGATGAAGTTCCAGAAACACAAGCATGGAAATTAAGTATGGAAATATTAGAGACCATTCAGTTAAGCACAGCAGAGAATACCCTAGTAGGTAAACCAATAGAAATCAAAAAGGGATTTTCACTTCTGTGATCTGTTCCAACCAAAGGCACAGTTCTACTTGCTCAATGCAGATGTCTTGGGAATAAAATATGCTATCTCTGCTTAGTCCCAGCATCCTGCTCAGAGTGCAGAGGTGTCTCTGCATGTCAGATGTTGGCTTCCTGTCATAGGCTTAGGTGACATCATGAAGGGAAATGGGAGGATAAAGGATGCTGGAGCTGGAAAGGATTTTTTTTACAGTTTATGAACAAAAGAAGAAAGGAAACAAACACAGCAGCTTCTCAGCATGGCTCTTTGAACAATATGGATAAAAATAATAAATAAAAAAAAATAAGTGGAACTGTCCCATTTGGAACATGCATTTGGCAGCTCAGCTGCAAACACTACCCTGAGTCACCACCATGACTGGAAACCAGGCCAGAAAACACACGCTGCTGCTGCAACCAGAGAGACAACACACTTGAACAAGGGTCTGACAGTGTTGTTCTGCTCAGAACAGTAAGTGATTCGCTTTAACCACTCACACATTACAGGCCTTTTAATAGGAACCTGCTGAAATGAGAAACTCCCAATCAAAAGAAGGGAAACTTTTTTCAATAGAAATTATATAACCTTTGTCTTTCTTCCCGCCCTTGGGCACAAATTGCTGTGAATCACAAATGCCCTGTGGGACAGATTATTTCTCTGCAGTCCCTGAGGTTTAAGGGCAGAATTAAACTTTTGTTTCATTTCTTTGTGTTGCTGTATTTGTTTTTACTCTCTGATTGTACAGGTCCAAGCCCTGTTCTTCAGCAGCAACAGCTGCTGAAGGCAAGAGAGGAGTTCAGCTGGATGGATGCTATGGATTCTGCTGCTCAAACAACGGCTGCATCCCAATCCTTGGGGCTGGGAGGAGGGGCTCTGCACACCAAGCCAGGCCAGCACAGAGCCCTTCAGCAGGACCAGGAGCCCTAGAGAGTTACAGACTCCACGGGGTCAGCAGAGTGGTGCACTACACCCAGGAGCAGCAGCTCCCTTGCTCTCCTCCTGTGCTGAATGCTGCTACACTCACCCAGAGGACCTGTCCAGCTGAGAACTTAACATCCTTTCTCCCAGTTTAGTCAGTAAAACCAGTATCCTACTGGGACTTTGGCTTCACAGAGTTCCCATTAGCATTGCTGGGTGCCAAGAACAAAGTAAATTCTAGCATATACTCCTGTAGACAAAGGTACAATTCTCCAATTAAGCTCCAGTCTGCTTCTGATAAGTGGAGGAACAAGATCTATTCCTCTCCCACTCTCAGATAATAAAAAGACTGCCCTTTCCCATTACATACAACAGTCATAAATGTAGCTTTCTAAAAAGCATGGTAAGAAAACACAGAAAACCATGACAGCTCCTACAGGACATTGCCACTGACACAAACTTTATTATAACCATTTCTGAAAATCTTCTCTTTGCAGAAAAACATTCCAGCAAAATTATACACTGCTCTTACTGGCAACAAAACCGTTGGTTGAAGCTGTTATTGAAACTGGTGCAGTTTTTCAGAATAAGTTCTCAACAGGCAATTTTGTTGTGTCCATAGGGTTCCAGATGGCTATTGATTATGTCTATATGATACATAATGTCACCATCATCTATTTTAAAGATTAAAAAAGAAAGCAGACAGAAAACCTATGAATGCTGCCAGGCAGCGCTGAAGGCTGAGGACCCTTACTCCCAGAGAATGCACCATATGGCAGCCCATATACCTGCCCCTGTGCTGCACCCCCAGCATGTCCCCTTGGGAGTAGGGAGTAATTTAGCCTCTGTTTTGAAGCAAACCTTGGCTCCTTTGCAACAATGCCAAGTCTTGCCGCTCCATGGGAGTGACTGGGTTAATCAAAATGGCATTTTTAACATGAAAACATAGAGCCCAAGGTTCTGGTTCCAAGTATGACATCACAGCACTGAGACGTTATAGGATCCAAGTGAGTCCCATTCACCCTCAAAATGGGTGACAACCAAGTTAAGCAGAAGGGCATTCAAACCCAGAGGTGAAAGATAAATTACTAGTCTCTCTTTCTCCACGTTTCTGATGAACCTTCCCATTATACCATGTGGGGATTTCCTAATGCCAAGGGTTCCCAGTCCCTGCCTAGTCATTTTAAGGAGGACTTGCAGTGTAGCTTACCCCATTTTCTTCTAGCGCTGCCAAGGGTTTATTAATGCTGTTGACAAACTTGTTGACATGCTCAAAGTGCTTTGTCATTTCTGTTGCTAAGACCATGTCAATAATAACCTGGCGAAGAGTTCGATACTCATTCCTGTTTAAAGAAGGAAACAATTAAGAATGCTGGCTGGTTCACAAAGGGCTGGTTGCTAAAACAAGTCTAACAAAAATGCTACAGACCATTTCCATTGGAGGGAGGTGCTGGGGGAAGAAAGAACAGTAATAAAGGCTTGGGCAGCTGCATGTATGCTAGACAGAGTAACTTTTGTTGTGTAGAGACATATGTACTCAAGGCATGACTGCATCTCTACAGTACCAGAGCTGGGCAGAAGCAGTAGCACCATCAGGTCAGAAGGGCTGCCAGGACATGCCACACCAGCATGTTCCCAAGGCCACTCAGCAGTGGCTCATGCTCCAGTCAAGTTTTCAGCAATACTTTTCTGCTGTATCTTGAGAGGACCAAGGCAATGGTCACCTCCTTGTCCTAAATGCCTTTCTGGGGCTGGAAGAAGAACATCATGTCCTTCACTATCCTTGCCATTGCAACAAGGCATTTAATTTTTTACTGATGCTCCACAGCTCTTTCTTTCCTTGTTCTATCCAGCAAATATCTACCTACTCAGCCATAATTTGTTCTCTACATTCAATGCTACAAAATAATTCTTCTAGACTTGCCCACATTAAGATTTACAATAAGTTCCTTAGATAGGGTCTGCCTTTTTATCAACAGGAGGAACTGACACCACGGGACTACTCCTAAGTCTGTGCAGAACAGGCAGAAGAACTCTACTCTTCTAGAAGCAAAGGATGCTTGTTTGCCTTATGTTACACAGAAGTAAGTGAGAGACGTTAGTGGGCAGACAAGGACCCTGGGTTTTAAGCTCACCTCTCCATGTTTTTAAATATATTGCATTTGCCATCCCGGGTGGTGAGCTGGAAAGCCAGGGCAGCGTGGTGGCTCTCCAGCACCGCCGTGTCATTGTAGAGAATCGCGAGCTCGCTGCCAGCATTGCACAGGAAAGAGTTTGTTCTTCCTGGGTGATCCACATCATGGACTGTGGCAGCAATGAGTGCGGCAACCTCATCAATTGGATCCAAAGTTTGCTGAAAATAGAAGGATGCTTAGTTTTCCTGGCAGACTCATTAGAAACCCTATTCTGTCCATATGATTAAGCCAAGTTCCTGAGGAATAAGAGCCAAAACTCTGGAGATCAGTAAGGGTCAGATGTTCTACACAGAGCAATGGAAAATTCATTATAAGCTTCACTGAACACTGTATGACTTTTTTGGCCGTTTCGTGCCTCTTAAATTTTGCCTTAACCACACCTTTGTCACAGCACATCAAATTAAACAAATGTAAAGTAATAAATTAGTTTGTGTTTTCTAACAACACTGAAACCACCTTCACTTGGAGTTAGGCTATTTGGCTTGAAAAAAAGAACGATACTGCTAAAAATTATTCTATTACCACCAGACCTCTTAATTTCCTCTGGCAATTTAATGTGTCCTAATCACACTCCAGTTATGTGCTGGCTAGGTTTACAATTTGAAAAGAATGTTATCCATATATCCAGTTTTATAATAACAGTGTCCTGGGGTTACAGCTAATGCATATTCCGTGAAGAATACCTGCTGTTTTACATCCATGGACAAATTATACAATACACTGTTTTATACTTTCTGTAACAAGATTCTGATTCTGTTAGTGTGCTGCACTCCATGCTTTATGTCTACTTGCAATGGTCATTGCTTTATGTTTAATTTTATCTAAGCTATTTCATGAAAATACAAACCCATTTGACTTTTAAGGTTTTATATTGAAGTTTTAATACTGTATTAATATCAAAAAGGAGAAAAACCCCTAAGCATCTCAGAAATATGCTGTATACATTTGGACACTGGCCTTTATTCTGTTGTGTTTATGCTGGCTTTTTGTGAAGGACCACAGATATCAAACAATTATGTTAAAAATTTTAATAAAATGAAAGAGACACAAGAGCAGAAATATCCCCCATTGAATCTGGGAGCAGGGCAGAAAATTTCCATCCCAATTAGCTTGAATTTAAGGTCCAAATTCCCTGCTGGCTTTGACAATACCATTCAGAATAGTTACACTTGGTAGGTGAAAAGACAGGCTGCCCTATGTTACACCTCCTGAAATTAATGCAATGGCTTGACTTTGAGGGAGCTAGGATATTACTGAGGTCTGCCAAGAGAGTCTTGTGGAGAACAAGAAAAGGCAAAACTTATTTCTGCTGTAGTTCATAGTTAGCATTGTCTGAAATACTATCTGCTGTGTGTTAGCTTCTTCTTTTTTTCTTTCAACTGCTGTTCACGGGATTCTGTTTTTGTGGTATAAAATTAGAAGAGATTTTTAGAACAGGCTCTCCTCAGAGGGACATGCTGACCAGTGCTCAGTCTGGCTGAGACAGATCTGTACAGATGGAAAATGGCCAGAAGCTTGGGAATACCTGACTTGTAGGACCAGAGCAGTCTACCTGATGCTCATTTCCTGAGGCTCACATAACAAACTTCACCGGGATTTGCAGCACTTTTATGACCAACATCAGGTCAAGAATTCTAATTTTGTCATTTTAACTCCCATGGCACAGAACTGGAAATGATTCTGAGAATATGGCTTCAATTTGGGAGCCTGAAAATTTTCCCAGGCAAGTTGACCTGAGTTCAAATTACAGAAAAAAAAATATTCTCAGTGAGAATTTGAGTGGCAGAATCAGGCCTTCTGTGTTTAAGTTAAGTTGAACTCTGGACAACACAAAAGCTGCTGGGCTGTAACTTTGAAAAGATAAAGAGAGAATTTTGAACTTTGATTCTGCTCCTTCTTCTGATGCAACATTTTTTTTCTCTTCCTAAGCCTACAGAGGAATGGAAATAACATTCTGAAAAAAGAGGAGGCAGTCATGCTTCTGTGGCATTGAAATGAATCCAGATTTATCTGTTTTTCATAGATATTCCTGGGAAGACCAGCTAAACCTCTGGCAAATCAGGGGCTGAAAAAATCCAGTGACATTCTATTCCCATTTGGCATATGGTATTTGTAAGTCGGCCGCTGGAGAGCACACTAATGAGCTGCAGCTCCAGGTTAAGGGACTTACTACAGTTTAATGAGCTGTCAGAAGCTTGTTTACAGTCACAAATTTCTCAGCCAGGTGCCCACCAGTAGCGCTATCCTCAGGCAGGCCAATTCAGGGTAGGAATTGCTACCCAGAAATGCACCTCAGAAATACGTACACACATGCAAGCGCTGCTTTATCTCCCCTTCTCCAGTCTGGGCATGTGAGAGCAAAGGTTGCTCTGATTTATTCTGGTTGTCAGTAGCTCTAATACCCCAGTGGATGTTATGGTACAAGGAACTTTGACAAGTAATCTTTTTCAATAGTATCCTCCAATGCAGTCTCTATAACCCTCAGGGCATCTTGTCCAGTGGGTGATACAGCCAACTTCATGGCCTATATTGTCCTGGGAGTCACCTGCAAAGTGACTATCACAAGGCATAAGAGATGGTGGTTTATTACATTAAATCTGTATTTGGCATGTACTGTCACAAAAATAACTGTCATTAGCTCACCTATCTGAGGAAGCTTAAGTAGATGAAGAAGTTTTACTTCAAAAGGAGATTTTCGTATTCTCCCATCAAGAATTGTTCAATTCCTGTAATATTAGTATCCATCTTTCCACATATACTGTAAGAGAAATCCTAGAACTCATGTAAAGCAGACCAGTTCTTTGACTTCAGAGTTACCACACTGGTTGGCACCAGAAAGACATTTGGAATCTGTTTTTGAGAGATCTTCCTTTGATTGCATCTGTATTTCCCACCTACACTGTTTCTTACAAATGTGGACTCACCTTTACTCTTTCTTTAGACAAGAAGTAAGCAGTAGCATGTAGTACATCTGCTGAATGAGTAGAATTATGGTAGGAGTTGGAGGAATGGTAGTTAGCCTCAATAACTTGTAACCATGACCTCAGAGTGGATTCTGAACAGTTTAGGAATTCACAGATTCCAAAGCGAGCAAATATTTTGAGACCCAGATAAACCAAAGGCCTGGAGAAAAATAAACAGAAAGTTTTAAAATAAATGCAGCTGAAAGAATATTATATCACATTAATAGTATGAATACATACAGCATTTTTAAACAATGACATATTAAATGAGGTATAAGGACTCATTACTGAATTACAGTCCAGACCTGTAGAAGTGTTCTGCCTACCTATCACATGCACAGTCTCAGAACCAGGCCAATTCCTCCCAGGGATATTAAAAATGCTCTATATTGCTGCTGTACTGCACGTAGCAGTGTTTTGGGGCTTGGGAAGTCTATGTTGGGTAAATAAATGTAGACTGCAGTCAGAATGAGATAAATTAGCAAGTACTAAACTGTGCACAAGAAGGGAGATAATCTTGCTGCTGCCACAGATTCCTAAGCTAATCTGTTTACAATTAGATTAAGTATATCTATACTACAGAATGCTGCAATCACTATGTTTTCTGCACTGCAGATCTGCTGCACTCCTTTTACACCCACCCTTGGCAGGATTCCATCCCTTGCTGATCACATGCAATAGCGGATGCTGCTTGAGTCCACATGCATCAAGCACTTCATTTTTAACTGCAACTGACGGGTGAGGTGAGGTCATTTCAAGGTGCTGAGGTCATTTAGAGCTAGATGTGCATCTTTTGGCGAAAACACTCAACAACACTGTGTCATATACTACAATTGTAATATACTAAAGTTAAATCCCCCTTAATCCCTCCCATTGTCAGAAAAAGGTGCTTCCAGGTTTCTGTGTCAGGGAGCTGTAATGCACTAAAGCTTCTATTTAATTAATTATCTTGGCTTTACTACCAGATGTCTGCTTGGACTTAAGACAGTACTAATAACATATTCATACTTGTGAGTCATATAAGATCATTTTAATTCTCTTAATAAATGAGCTGCCTTTATTTAAACACAGGAGAAAGCAATCATTATGATACCTTTAATAAGAGAACAGGCAACGAAGTACCACCTTTGCCCCTCTGTGGTCTCTCCAAATCAGCAAGAAGAGAGAAGCCTATCTGGTGATCTCATGCATGTTGGCTGGGATAATTAATTAAGTTACTGCAATGCATGCATTAAATGTTGTAAATCACACAGACTGACTATATCTTTACATTTTTCTTTTTAATTACTGTATCTATAGGACTGCATTAGACATGAAAATGCAGCAAAGAAAAAAAACCTAAAGCAACTGGATGTAAATTTCTTCACTCGCAATAAAATCACTTTAAAGAAGAATAAAACCCTGGATTTTTTTGCAGCTTTTTGAAATGAAGTGCATGTATGTTAACTAAATGCCTCATATCTTTCTTAGAGTTTGGTTTGAGTACCTTTCAAAGCTCTTACAGATTTGGAATTTTGCAAGGGTTTAAGATAGTCAATTCATTGCAGGATCCAGCCTCCAAATTAGTCTCTCCAAATAGAAGCTTTAAACTAAGACAAAGCATGATACATGAAATTAGACCCAAAAGGGGAACTTTTGATTAAGCATCAGAAAATAAAAACAAGGATTTAAATAGATCAATTTACTCTTAGTGGGAGCCCTTACTACTAACAAAGTACAATCTATCAAAATTGCTGATTTGCTTTTAAAAACTTCTATGATGGTATGCCCTACTTTTTATCAGTACATATTCTTCAGTTAATCTTATAAATAAAATGTAGCCTGCCAAGATTTTAGAATAAAGACCTTCCTCTAATCCCAGGGAAAGGCAATGGGAATTCTGTTGAAAAGCTGTATTGGAACTGTTCAGGAATAAAACCTACCCAATTATATGGAAAGAAAATAAAACCTGATCTGTATCAACTAATCAAATTAAGACCAGCATGTTGACTCTGTGTGTAGTTGGCCATAATAAGAATTTGAATCCCCAAAAGAAAACAATTTGATTTGTAGAACTTTTCTATTACTGAGAAAAGGAAGGCTTTAAAAATGATGTTGTTTTGTCATTATACCATGTCAAAGATACATAATCTTCACTTATATCCACTAGGAATTTGCAGGAAATAGTGTATGATGAAACAGAAGACATTTAATGTTCATACTCAACTAGAAATGCCAATGGGAAAGTTTGAAACATCTGACTTTGAAAATAAAAATTATTCAATTTTAAAAGCACAGGTAGAGAAATTAAGCAGTCCGTTACAGGATGACATTTAAGTCACTTTTCAGCAACTTCAATGTATGAGCTTTTGCGTTTACTGACCTTTTATGGGTGGCAGCCTCAAGTTCAAAGATATCGAAATCCCACTGTTCTTCATTTTCCATTGCCTGTGTTATCCGTGGGGGTATGTCATTGAGGGAGATTGGAGAGCTCAAACTGCCAGTGACCTGATGAATTTCTGTTGAGGAATACATTTATTACTGTATTAATATATTTATTAATAGTATATTAAATACTATATTTAATAGTGAGATACACTTCTACTGAATGTACATGTTTTCTTTTCTGTAGTAACACCTGGCAACTCTCATTTTTATGAAGCTCAGTAATGCTGCAGAAAAACACTTATAAATAAAAATAAACCCAACCCAAATGATGCTAATATAAAACCCCATCTGATCACATTTCTCCCATTTCTTAAGTTTCTGAACATTTTAGTATCTCAGTAACCACCAAATTAAAACTTACGTTTTGCTGACAATATGTATTCGTTCCCTGATAATCTTCGCAAACCATCCTGTTAAATAAAAGTTGAGAGTTAAATGCAGGTTATGGCACAAAAGGTCTAGAAGATGATGACACCAAATAGTAGCACAACTTCAGACAAGCCTGACTGCAACCTGTAATAGTCATCAGAGCTGCCTCTCCCTTATTTGTGTGTACTGTTAGGATTTGCCTTGTTTTACTTATAGTTCATAACAGAGGAGAAACTGCAGGATATGGATGGGACACACTAAGAACATAGATAGGTAAAAACTCGCATTTCTCAGGTGCAGATGGAGGTGTGGAATTACAGTCTCACATCTGTCTTTGTCTGGACAACAGGCACACCACTTGTGGATGTGTGCCACAAACAAGGCACTGTATGGCCACATACTCCCCATCAACAAGCAAAGGTGGGTGGTGGGAGGGAGTGGATAGAGAGGTGCTTCTGCTCTCCTCCCCTGGCACTGGCAGATCAGGTCACCTCAGCAGCATAAGAATCTCATGATTTGTTGCTGGAATTGCAGAGCAACAAATTTCTCTGAGGCTTCCTTTCTATCACAGCAGAATGTACGTTTGTTTATTCTTCAGTTCAGTGCCTCCTAGGCTTAACTCTGGCATGACGCCTAGATGTGCAAACTGAGATGACGGATTAAAACTAACAGAGTTATATATTTAGTATTTACTTTTCAGCTTATAATTCTAAATACCGTGGCCCAAATCCTGCTTGTTCTTTTGAGGTTACAGCTGTTAGTTACTGCACGTTAATGTTTAGCCCATGATGTAAAAAAAACAGTGCTTCAAACAAATATTTCTCAATGCACCTTACTAAAAACGTTACGCACACAAAGTATAGCAGAAGTACACGTGGATGCTATAACTGAACATGCAATATCTGCACCTAAAAAAATTTTTATATCACATTTTTACTTTCACACTTGTATCTGAGTAGGGAGTTTTGTGATTTAAAAGGAAAGGGAGAACTACAGTGGCTCACTGACTCTTCAATAGCACTGCTATGGCACAAATATTTAAGACACCAGCTGCTGCCTCTCATTTGAATCAAAGATTAGTTTTTTAAGAGTTGAAATAGCAGGTGTAATTATATCTGGCAAATCCATCTTTGAACTTCAAATGCCCTTCCTGCCTGAGAGTTCAAATCCAATAGCATATTACTTGTTCCCCTTCTCAGACATAACTTCTGAACATGAAATGGAATAATGTGATTCTGTTTTCAACAGACCCTTTGATGAAGAAATTATTCTCCCAGATAATTTTCAAACTCACGCTATGTCATATGCCTCGTGCTCTGAAATAGATTTATCAGCTTTCCTATTGCCCCATAAAATAGCCTCTGTTTTATTTTTAGTAATGGTTTTGTATTTTGCAGTATTGTTACCTACATGTTCATGGACTGAATACAGTCAGAATACAAATGTATGTAAGAATCAGCAATCACCAAAAAGGAGAAAACAGTTGAGCTTATGGACTATGTGTATTCAGCAGGAGAAAAGATTCACTTTGAGACTAATGGTTATATGTATCAATATCCTTCCTATATTTTTATAGTTAAGGTAACAATATATTTTGTCTATTCAGTAAATTCAACCCTATATGAACCATTCAGGTCTTCTCCTGGAATTCTTGAAGTCTCCCATATGTTTCTCCTGATTAGATATTTACCATGGTATTTTGAAAGGCAAAAATACATATAAACTCTTTGAAGATTCTGCTGGATACTGCAAAGGTGTTGAGATAGTTACAATATGAAATTATAATAGCCCAAGACATCTCTGAAAAGCTCATATCTTGTGAACCTTTTTACATCTAACACACTGTAAATTTTTTTCCCAATGTAGCCTTTTATATGTGATCTACAGACTAGTGGGAACAAATATCCTTAAGGCACAGGTAACATTCATCTAAACTCATCTCGTTACCATCAGGAGGGTCAGACTCCAGGCTTTGAAGGTTTGGGTTCAGTTCTTGCTTCACTATGTGCCCTTTGTTCAACTTTGGGTACACACTAGAGGTACAAATATAATCGAGGAAAAAGCAAGAAAAATACATATTTTGCATTCCTTTGAAAACACATTTTTTCTGTTGACTGAAAGGCACCCCAAAACCATGTCATTCTAATCCTCATTAATAAATACAAGTGTCTGGCTATCTTTATTTCTTTCTCTCCCATCTCTACCTCTCTTAAATGAATCCCATTGAAAAAAAGAATTGTTTTTACTTTTCATTTGTAGCAAAACTAATGTTTCAAAGGGGCTGGTCAATTTTCTCCCTATTCTAAGAGCTGCATTATTCAAGTAGGGGGGGAAAATCCACAAAAAGAGGTGTGCAGTTTTTTCTGTAAATTTGGCATTGTAGAGGCAGAGCACGTGTCAGATGATAAAGATCAAGTAACTGGGCAAGTCAGGCAGCAGAACATTAATCAACAGCTGTTTGTGGTAGTATGTACTTACTGTCATTAACCCTCCAACAAGGTCACTTGTATGTGGATCCTCATCTTTTGTCCCCAGTTGCGGAGAGTACAATTCAGTGGTTCTTAAAATCTCCAAAGCCCGGTCTAAAGCTTCTGCAACTGGCATGGGACTGCTTTCTTGTGCAGCATTGATGATGTTTATTACCTAATGTAGCATTAGACATATTGTGAACTTAGAAGTGATTTAAGAAAGAATAGAGATACTCATCAACTACTATAGAAAATTCAGCAAATAAACAAGATCCAAAACTTTAATCCACATTAAAGGGAGAATCCAAATGAAAGGAATGTTACAGAAACACTAATGCTTGCTACAGATTCTGGGAACAAGACCATGGCCTTAAAGACAGCAAACTTACTAATGACTTTCCCCTCCAAGCCACGGTCTCAAAATGTCTCTGAATGGATTTAATATAACTTTCTCCCATTTGCCTCTCTCAATTTATTAAAGAGCTGATTTTTAACAAATCCTAGAGTGGTTTCGGAAGGCAGTTTACAATGCACCAAGTAAGGAGGAGGAACACAGGCAAAAGTTCTTAAAAAGGGTCATGTGATGGCTGACCACATGGATGCCACTCTACTAAGCAGACTTGGGAGATCATTGTTCAGAGTATCTGGCTTTCTGGAGCTACACCAGCAGGCAGGTGGAACAGGGGAAGAAGTTGCCCCAGAGACCAGTGCTGCCTTGCTCCTCAGCCTTGATGCTGCCCTGGAGCCTCGTGCCCCAGTGCTGCAGTGCAGCACAACTGCCCACAGCCAGAGCCAGAGCACATTACCTTGGTGATGGGGGCTTCGATAGTCATGGAATGTACCCTGGCCATGGACGAGCGACGCCTTTGTGAGCTGCCTGTGCACAAAACAAAACAGAATCTGTATCCAAATTCCAGCGACAAGGCATGACAGGAGGATTCAGCCAAGAAATCTTGATTCATTTTCTGAACTGCTTACCCTGCTGTGCCTTTCAGAGGCAATCTATTGCAGAATACATACACATGCTTGTGATGCTGGGGACACACAAGTGCAAAGGGATGCTGGCTGAACCACTGATGTCCCTGATTAGAGATAGGGAGCTGTAATAGTCTGGAAAATCATGGCTTTGTTTTTTTGTTTTAACTAATTAAAGTATTCAATTAAAACTCAGTTAAAAGACTATATAGATGTGTGTGTATAAACTGGCAATCAAAGGTAGGTAACCATTGCATTTAGGTTATTAGGCAATGTATCTACTCTTGCTGCCTGATGCAACATGACAAGTCATAATGAGTCAGCTTCCAAGCTGAGGTAAATCAGTGAAGCTCCTCTGAAGTGGGTAGCTATGCCAAATGAAAACAGCAGAGGTCCTGACCTATTATTCATTGGAAATTTAAAAACAAATGTTTTATATCGTTTAGCAAATTTATTTCTGTAGAGAAAAAGTCAAGATAAGATTTTTCTGGATGTTGTGCTACCTATAAAATGCAGACACATCTCTGTAACTGTTTGCTGAGCAGTCTGTAAGAAGAAAAATCAATACTATTTTTGCTATACTGGAGCAGGATTGTATTCTCACTGCCACAGACCTACTTCCATACTTCACTCGTGTATGCTGCCTAGACTGTGATGATGCATGCTTTAACAAAATCACGTAAGTACCAGCAGCAGTTTTGAATATGACTCATCTATAAAGTTTGTGGTGATCTAACAGAGCAAAATACAACAGAGTGAAAGAAAACCAAATCGATAAAAAAATATCTTCACACCTTTATCAAGAGAAGAGGTAAGAAATATAACAATTTGTGTATTGGTTTTGTGTGGCAACTCCAACTCAGCCAGACCCAATACAATGACTTGTTTAACATACCATCACTCCCTCGTGATGTGGTGGATCTGACATCTAGGGATCCTTTCCTCATGTCTTTGTGTCTGCAAGTCTGAGTATCTGTGAAGAAAATATCATACAATGACATGAAGCTGTGCCTAAGATGTATGTCAAAGGAATTGAAGCTCAGAAAAAGCCTGACAGCAGCTGAGTGACATTCACCACAACACTTCAGCACGTGGGAGCCAATGAAAGCTCCCTTTTAAACTCGCCCAGTGACACCACCATGAACCCAGTCATGCTCACTGGCAGAACATGCCTCAGTGTTTGTGCAGAAAGAAACTAACAGTGTGGAGGAAAAAGTGCCTCTCTTGCCACAGTGACACAATTGTAGTTGTGAATACAACTTGTGCAGCACACCTGAGTTCACTCAAGGGACCACTGCCATCAAGAACTACTTGGCCCAAGCAGAGTACACACTACCAAAGTAGGCAGTGTATCCCAGGTCCCTTACAGACCCTGACAGACAGAAACTGTCCTAGCAAGGCTATAGTTAACAAGTACCTACAGCATGGATACCGAGGATGTCATAACTGAAGTGTTGATATGTGGGATGAGGGTGAATAATAGTGTTGGTCATCCTCATTTCTACCCACATGCAAACTTCCCCCAGTACAGCTGAAAGCAATGCAGACACACATGCCACTACAGACCAGCCACAGCAATGTGACTACAGGGCATCCTCCTTATTTCTAGTTCTGTCACACGGATCCACCACCTACAACTGAAATGTGACGCTGAATCCAGCAATACCAGCTTGGGGCCCCATTACTGTGTTTTCAAAGGGGGGTTGATTTATGTCACTTCTAAAACAAATGAGGCAGGTAGAGAGGGCTTGTATTTATTTTCCTGCCTTTTGAGCTGAATTCCCAACTTATCAGTAGGTAAATTGTACTGTTCTGTGCAACTGTGTTTTCAGTCAAATTACTAACAATGGCCTTAATTCTTTCCTCAGATATGTTCTCCACTTATTAGGATGAAAGAGATGTGTCATACCTGTCTGAGATTCAGCCTGAATACATTCACATGTCTTCTCCACCTACAATTCAGTATGAGAAATCCAGTTAGTCAGAACTTTGCCAGTATTTTATAATATATAGGGCTCAAACTAAAGCAAGCATACACTATTTTCACTTACCTTATTGTTGTCATTGCACAGTCTACTAATTGACACATAGTGTCTAATCTTTCTGTAGGCAAAAAACAGTGTGTTAATTCCCATCCAAACCTCAGCTCTAATTCAGTGCTGATACTCAAAGTAGGTAAGAGCAACAGATTATTTTAGCACAAATCCTGTTCTGCCAGGAAGGCTCAACTTGGAAGAGGAAAACCCCACAGTTCTGCATGTCATGGGGAAAATAGAAGCATCTTTTGCAAAGTCTGTCTCCTCCTCTTTCTCTCTGCTCTCCCCCCACTCTCCTAGCTTCTTCTGGGCTACTGTAGGATGTTTCATGTATGATATAAATGCGAAAAATGCAACAGTGCTGTCCAAAACTCAAAATCTTCTATAGGACTTAGGGACAGAGCAATCAAACTGAAAACTAAACCCCTGATTAGCAAAAAACTTCCTAAGTCAGCTTCAAATGGGCTTAGGTTGTTCCGTAAGTAGCAATGTATGTAATACATACATGTCTTAAAAGTTTGACATCTTAAACTGAAAATACGTTTTCACTCTATTGATGGAGACTAAAGAACATGAATTACTTCCAGGGATTAAATCAACCCAAAACATCAAAAACTTTTTTTTTCCTTAAGGATGTTACTGCTTGAAAAAGCTGCATTTGGCCTTTCCTTCTCGAAGATACAATTTTAACAAACAATTGTCTCAGCCGAGTCTGAGATGACGTGCTATGCTCTTGATTAAGCCTTAAAGGGATTTGAACCTACTACTGCATGCAATCTGATCCACCTTCTTTCCCTGAAAGGACTCATCATACCAGTAACTAACATCTACTTGTGTGCTCCAAAGGCTCGATTTGGGGACCAAGTGGAAGTTGCATAAAAATCAAGACATGCTTGAATTTTGCCCATAACCAAAGCACACAGTGACCTTATCACATAAAGACACCTGGCAACAGCCATGAGTAGGTGAGCATGGAGGGACATGGTACAGGTGCACAGTTGGACCTGATGGTCCCACCACAAAGCATAGAGAGACCAGAGAGTGCACCTGAACTTCAGGGAGTATTAGAAGAGTCAGGGTCACAAGTGAGCACACCTGGATCTTTGGCTCCTTTTGGGGGAGAAGTAGGAGAATTTCACTTTCCCTGCACACAGCATGTAAAGCTGATTTTGCCCCAAGGAATTAAAAACAGAGGTCTGAGGCTCCCTTCCTTGCATAAGCTTCCATTATACTCAGTAACAAGATAATCTAATGTCTGCAGAAAACAACTGAACTCTAAACTGAGCCTTGAGACATAAATCATTGTTTAGCTTTCATACTTACCCTCCCTGTCCGATGACAGGTAGTATCTTCACATTTTGTTGTATGCTATCTCCGTTTTTCTTTTTTGCATAGTACATTCCTTGCCATTCCTGAAAAAATAATTCAAGTAGAAGGAAGATCAGATAAAACAGGAATAGAAGCTGTAGGTTCATGCCTTCTTTCATTGAAAGCTGTCTTACTATACAAAACCAGGCAGGACTGGTTACCCTCAAATTTCTCCCCTGGAACAAACCTGTAGGTCACTGTGCTGCTGCCAATGCATAGAGAACTTCCAGAGAGGCAGCCTGTGAGTGCCCTGATGGCAACAACTGGACCTCAGATGCTGTGGGAATTGACCATATATTCTCTTCAACATCCTACCTCAGTGGTGTTGTGGGTCACTGGGGGGAGATCTGGCACAGAGCAAGAGCTCAGACCAGTCTCTGCCTGGAGCAGGAGTTCCCCCGAGGTTCCGGGAGTGCCATCAGGCTCTAACTGTGTGGGGCACCACCCTGCCCTGCCCAGGACCACACACCACATGGCTGGGACTGCTACACTGACCTGCCCGACTTTCTCTCTGACTCTGTTGACTTGTTCCAGGACAGGAAGGTCAGTGCAAAAATGCTACACCGACCTGATCACCTTCTCTTCTGAACTGCACCGTCTCTCCTGCAGAGTTGGGAAGTCCTATCACTGATTACGCATTAAATATATCTGTGAATAAAAGTACTTTGATATCCTACTACATTTACTTTCCATACTGTCAGTTTACTATCAAAAAGTGCCAGAAATTTTTCCTTTTTTTTTTTTTTTTTTTTTTTTTTTAAAGCAGAAGAGAGCCTAGTTAAATAGCTCCTGGATTCTGCCTCCCTTTAAAAGCAGTCTGGTTTTAGGATTGTCTACACATTTCCATCCCTAGAACAGCTATTGGTGGCCTTTTTAAATAGGTGTGTATTTTGAGCTGGGCATCTAATAAATACCAAGAGATTAATAAATAATTTATTTCATATTGCACATTCACTTGATACAAACTGCTCATTGCAATTGCTGGTGCAATTGCCGTATTTCAGTTGAGTTCAAGAGACTGCAGATCAGATCTTACAAACATATGTGAAAATACCTTCATGAGGCAGATGATACATATTTATTTATGTGAGACTGACATAGTCAAGTGAGGCTGATTTCACAGTCAGGTAGGCCAGAGCACAGGTACGGAGAGAAGAGTTTTGTATTTATGTTGATGGAGCCAGCAAACAGACTCTAGCCCACAGAGAAATGCATGGTAACGGGCTGAACAGAAAAAAATATGAAAGGCTTTTCTGAGGATCTGTCAGAGAAAAGAACTGTGTATAACAAACTGTGAAGCGAGTGTTATATCTTCTCCTGTGAGCTGCTTGAGGAATACAAATGAAGATAAAGTAAGCATCACAAAATTCAATGTTCTCATAATTAAAATATTTATATCGATAGTCTCCTGACAACCAGGATGAGGTAGAGATGAGTAATTGATCTCTAACCCAGGCAATAAACCCAGGATGTACATAAAGGGATGAAGTCATAACGTACAGATTGGATAATTCCCTCATTGAAAGTGCATCCTTCTCAAGACAGGTTATTCACTAATGTGTTCTTCCTAGTCAACAGATCGATTTTTTCAACTTGTGAATTTCTAAAACCTGTGAAACTGTGGCAGGAAATGTGTGAGGGAAAAGGTCAGCACAATTTTGAGAAATAGCAGGTCCAAGCCAAACTCCTGCTGGTAGGTAAAGTTCTCCCAGGGATGTTACTTAAATGTATTTTAAGAACACCATATGCTCTTCCCAGAGTCTCTGTCAGCAATCCAACAGAGAAGAGCTGCTTCCTAAGACATGCTGTCAGTCAAGCTCATCGTTCTGTCTGCATTAGAGCCACACACGCCCTGTGATCAGTCCCTGCTCTATGGCATGGTGTGCTGGGATCAAACACAGAGTACAAATCATTCACAGTAAAAAAACACACAGTTTCACCCTTTACAGAGTGGTCAGTGCTGATGTTTCAAACTCCATTAAGAAGTCCAAGGCATGCATCTGTCCACTGAGCACTCATACATGCACAGTAAGGAATCCCCCAATTTTCAGCCTTCCTTTTAGACTGGGGCTTCTTGCACAAGACAGCAAAGTTCAGCAAACTGCTTTTAGAAAACAGAGCAAACCAAAATAAACTCAAGGTGTCATGAAAACAATCTGTAAGAAAGTAAGGCTGAGTTAGGAAGCAATTGCCATAGACCTTTATCACAGACTGTGATTGCTCTCCCACCCACTCTGTAAAGACTGATATCTTGCAAACAGCTCCCAAGGAGTCAGAGGAATTGCATGTCTTGTCTGCTTTATCAATAGCTACACATCTCACTTCAAAAAAAAGCAAAACTAAGATAAAGAGCTTTGTGTCAAACTGCAGAGATCAGAGGTAGCAAGAATTCTAGTCAGAATTGCACATTTCATCTTAATGGATGCAATTTGAATCATGAAACAGAAGAACGAAGTTTTTTTAAACTCCTCAAGTATGGATGGCTGAACATGTCTTTCAATAACATTGACTTCTTGCAAATTACAGCCAGCTGTAGTAACAAAAAATGAACTTCCAGAGATATTGTTTTTGCTAAGACAAACAACATCCTGACCCAAGAATCCCTACGTACCATGCAATTAGCAATTGTTGAGTATAATGCCTATGAACTTTGGATATACTAAACTTGCCCACAGCATTATGTTTGTCAGCAAAAGAGGGGAAATGCTGCAAGAGTCCATCTTCCTAAATTCCATTTAAAGATGAGAGGTAGATTTTATGCAGTTCACATTTTTCTAAGGACCAGAAAAAAACCTTGCTTTCTATTATTTTTATTATTATATTACCATGTTTGTTCAAAACAGAAAAGCCAAACCTGTTGACAGGAGAATATCACAGTAGTGGACAGTTGGCTTTTTTGATATGCTGTAACCTACAGTAGCCAATATAGGGCCTACTGTAGTGGGAAGATAGTCTTCTAAATTTAGGACATAAAGAAATCACAAGACTGAAAGCAATGCACAGACCACATCAGAATGATCCAGATAAGTTAGGCACCTCCGTAACATCTTGACACAAATGATTTAAAAAATTCAAATATTTCAAAGGTTATTCCTCACAGTTAACCTTGACTTGCAACTACTTCCTGTAATAATTTTATTTGTAATTCATTTTTATATTAATATATAAATGTAAGGTTACACAGATTACATACTATGAAGTGTTCCAAAGGGAAACACAAAATATCTGTAAACAGAATATATCCACCTGAAACAGCTTAAACTGTTCCAGATAGACAGATAGGTAGTATTCCATTAGCCCTCACCACTGAAGTCGTACAGTCAGGAGTAAAATAAGAGCAAGGAAAGAGATGGATTAGGGTTAGATTTCCATCATTCATAGAGTAAAACATATTTCTGTTATAAATGACATTTCTATCAGCCCACTAAAATATTAAAAAATTTCTCACTTCATATCTTGAGAATTGACATTGTGGATTTAAAACCTGACACATCCAATATATTTGAATTATAACTTAATAAATACTCTCTTCTAACATCGGTTTCATATTACACTCATTTACTTTGAGATAATTTTGGTCAGGCAAGAGAGATGTGAAGCACCATAATCCAAGCTATTGTCTGTCACTGGGATCTCTTTTAACAGCCAATACATGTAGAAATGAGCGATACATTCTCATTGAAAGGCACACGGGATCTGCCCCCAGCCAGAGCACAGCTTTTGTTGATCAGTGCTTGTGTCAGCACCCTGATTTACAGAGTATGACTCACCACAACCTTGCAACCCTGTGTAGATGCACAGAGTGCCATGATTCACTTCAGCATCTCCTTGCTCTGTGCCAGTAATGTGCTGCTTCCCCCAGGACAGTCGGTACGACCCAACCGGCTGTCCTGACTCAGGTCTGACCGTGGGCCATGACACACCACCCAACACACCAATTCCCAAATCTATTTCTGTAATCTCCATGATCTTCTTCCTATGTGGTACTGTGACATGTTCAATGGCATCAGAAGCATTTACATCTCATTGTAGAAATGCAGATGGGAGCTCCTAAACAGATCCTCACATACATCCACAACACTCCCAAAGGAACATCATGGAGTACCAGGCAAACAGTAACATCCCTTTGTAAAGATCTCCCTTAAAGCCAGACCTTGACAATCTTAGTGCAATGAACATTTCTAATGGAAATCCATTAGACATCTCCCATATCATTAGCTGGCAGCTGACACCTATCACTCTCAAGTGATATTGCAAATGTCTCTGATATTTTTACGTTCTGAACTTGCTTCCACATGTCATAGTTCAACATGGTACTTTTCTCATTTACATAGCACTGGATAACATGTGCATCCATCTCATTTCTCTTGTTTGCTACAAACAGCATAAATTGTAAAGAAACTCGGCAAGTCACTTATTTTCATAAAACAAGTACCTCTTCCAAGCAAGAAAAGAGAAAGAAGCCCTTAAAAAAACTCCCATTTTTTACTTCCTGTTCTTGTTTTGAGTGAGAAAGTTGCAAATGCTACTTTTCTGTGAAGCTGCAAGTCACAACGTGTCATCTCTGGACTGCAACAACTCTTACAGGTAGCAAACAATAAGTGATACAATGCCATTACTCACCTTTCCTATCTTTATGCAGGAATTAATAGTATCTAGGAAATCAGCTTTTTTTTCATTTATAGGCACTTCTGTTAATTCCTTTTGTATTAGTTCACCTATTTGATAGCCCATCATTGTTTCAAAAGCAGGATTGACGTACTGTGAAACAAAAACAAACAAATACCCATTGAACAGTATACTTAAAGCACAACAAAATCCCTCTTTTCTGTTTGCTAAACCATGGGATGTCTTTCCCAGCTTGAAATAAATGTCAGCATGTACTACTCCTGAGAGAGATGCCCACATTTTTTTATTTGTGAAGCAAAACAGGAATGTCCGTGCCAGAATAGTTCTGTGGAGTGTGTGCCTGTGAGCAAAGAGAGGGAAGAAACAGCTGAGTATTACACATTAACAGAGTTTAGAAAGACAGCATAAATTCCTGAAAAATAGGTTCTGTCAGTTCTCAAACATATAAACCTCAAACCTACCTCTGTGTTCCTAAAAATCACAGATTTGACAGTGGGATACCATAGGAATATTAACCTTATCTATTAGCAAATTCATTGTCTTATTCTATGTAAGGGCCAACCATCACTATTTCCCTGTCCTGGCAGGTCCAACCAAGCAAACTGGAAGAAGTGGAATTTAATAAAGCACTTTCTCTCTGGAGTGAACGTTGCATTTCATTGCAGTTTTGTGGCCCTTGCCCAATAAAACCGAAGATTGTTACCAACAGCCCACACCTTTGTGACCCTCTCTCTTGCTGAGTTACAGGCACAGCTCCTGTCAAAACAGCATCTGAATGTCTCACAACTTACAGTGTTTTACTATGAGAGAAATGCCCTCTGCTTCTAAAGGTTCCCCCCTAAAGGTTCCTTCCAAAAGGTTCCCCTCCATGTGCGAAAGCCCTGCCCGCTGGAGCTCCAGGACTCCTGCACATGTCGGTTCTCTCATACTCTGGGACTGTCAGCAGAGGGACAAAATTGGGTCTGAAAAAAACATATTTAAAACAACTTCAGGATGTGTTCTGTTATTTTTTTAAAAGGGATGAAGAAGGTACATCCTGAATTGAAATTGCCAGTGTCAAGATTTGGGTCAAGAAGGTACAATTTATATGCATGTTATAATTCCCAGAGGCTTAGACTCAAGCTCTTTGCTGATAATAAAATCACTCTTCACTGCTTCATAGCTGGGGATGGAACTAACTCCTTTATAAAGATGATGGTTTTCAGAACTGCAAACCTAAGCACAATTTCTTTTCCCTATTTTAAAGACATTTCTAAGAGAGGATTACATTCAAAAACAGTTGGCCCAAGAATTCTGAGACATCAAACAGTATCAGATTTTAGGGAAAAAAAAGTGTACAATTATTTAAATAGAATATCCATTAGAATTTCAACAGTATCAAATTAACATACAATATTTTTGGAAAAGAATGCTTACAAGCCAGTGGCTGCATTCATTCTTGATACAAAAGAATCAATCAAAAAATAAAAACAAGAGAGTAAATCCTTATTCATTCAGAAACAATCACCCTTAAAATTGACTGGATTTATGCAAGATACTTTAAATGGAGAAAATTCTACTCTACAGCTAAACTCACTTCAATCTTTTAGAACCATTAAGTTAGATTAGATTCTTGTGCCATAAGAAAGAGTAAGTGTAATCATGGATGAAATAAAATACAGAGCAATTTTCTGTATTTTTATAACTGGAACAAACCTGTATTACATGGTCTTCACTTGTGATCTCAATGGCTTCTTGACTTTTCTCTAATGCTGTAAATAATGAATTACACGCCCTGGAAACAAACAAAAAACCACAAAGCATCTCATAAAATTTTATCCTCTTAAGTCTTCTCATATATGACAATAAAGTATTACCACTCCATACTGGATAACATTGTACTTCAACAATTAATGTTTTTTCTTAGCTAACTGCCATTCTATAATTAACTATCACACATAAAATAAATACTCTATTAAGATGTGGCTGAATTGAAATTTTTTTGTTGATAACGTTTTTGGTAAAATTACCTTAGTTTGAACTGTGCCTGTACCTGTCCAAATTCCAGCTGAATCAACTCATTGTAACAGGCCATTCTACTAGAATTTTCTATATATCTCTGCAAATAAAAGGTTAGAAATATTTAATTAATACACATTTCCGAATTCAAGGGTATGAAGCTCTGTTTTCTTTCCTTGATAAAGAACCAAAAAAAGGAGTAGACAGGCCAAAAATGAACATGCTGTGACACAAGCAACCCGAGAAAACTATTTTTTGGGAATAGTAAAACTTTTTAGGTTACTGCATTTTGAAAAGGTGACTGATCCTCATGGTAATGAGGTTCAACCAATCTGTTTATTCTCTGTGTTTGTTAGGAGGATCAATGTATTTTTTAAAAATCTACTTTTAGCTCTCATGCTACTTATTTAAAATAAAGTGAAAAAATTGTTGTCTCTCAAGGCATCGAAATCTGAGATTATTTTGAGTTTCTAATTGCTAATACTCCAAATTTTCTACATAGAAGAAAGCAAAATTTCCAGTCAAACACACCTACCATTGGATACAATTATGGATTTTGGGGCTTGTATAGCAACGACCTCAGTATCTTTCACGTTATTTTAACACTTCTCATATTTACCAGGTATGAGCCTGAAATGTTAAATCTTTGTTCATGCTAAACCAGCACAGAAGTGGATAGTTTGCAGGGAGGATTGATTATCAAAGGTAAGCCACCACATTAAGGTGCTAAACAAAATTTTCTGTGCTTTGCCATTAGCCCCATCTCCAAGGCTCTGATCCATAAATAATTCATAACCCGTGTTAAATTACTTATGTGCCCCCTGGAATGACTCTTTTCATTTAAATACCATTATCTTCAGGCTCTAGCATTTCCTGGACTGGGACCTTACTAGAAATAAGCAGAGGGGTGCAAATGGAATGTGATGGGACAGCAAAAAATCTGGTGATCATGGAACCAAATATTCTGAATCACACTGTAAATCAGGCCCATTTTTGTTCCTTTGTCAGCTGAATGCAATAAGGAATCCACTTAACTGATGCACTAATAAGTATCTTTTTAGCTTAGTTGGAATAGTTGCCAAGGAACAGATTCAATGCAATACTTTTCAAGTGCCTCCAAACAATAGATAATAGCATTTGACAGTGTCTGAAGCCTGTTTACAGATGTGAATTGGCATTTGATAGAAGAGATTTCCCACAGCACATTGTGCTGTTCATTGCAAGCTGCTCTCTGCCACAGTCACCAGTCAATTTTATCCATGTCAACTTTTCAAGCAGAGCATCATATATTTCATCTGAAATAAAGGCATAAAGCAGTAAAAAGTCTCAGCACCACTTCTGACGTTCCTGAGAATGGCCACCTACTCAGCATTATTCTAATCCTACTGGTGTACAGTGGTCAGAACTGGGACCTACAGGAATGAGCAGCACGAACAGGATCTACAGGTTGGATCACTGACACAAAAAAGGACTGAGCCAAACTTCTGGATAGTTTCTTGCATGAAAATTTTGAAATATCAGAGCAACCCAGTACAATATTGCAACATACATACCCTTGTGAAGCCAGCAGAGATCAGGGGCAATATTGATGACTCCTCACGGTCAGTATGCCTTTGAAAAAAGAATAATAAAGTCAGAGATTATTTTTGTAATCAACTGAGGCCAAATTTCACAATCCATTGACATACTTGTATCCCAGATGTCACACATACTGCTAGATCTTTACAGGATCTAGGAATAAAATATATTTTTTGTGGTTTTTAATAACCTTTCATCTTTGGCATGGAGAAGTCAAAATGTTATTTTCCTTTATGCACGTAAGGTGCTGCTTACACCACAAAAAACCTTGTGCTTCAAGGAAAACAATTAATGACCTAGGTTGTTGGACTATTCCTATTTTTTTTGGTACTGGATTCTTTATTGTTTATGCTGTCCTTAGTCAGAGATGCACTTGAAAGTCAATACAGCCAAAGTTTTAAGAAATTCCCTGTCTGAGTGTACCAAATCCTAGATGGGCAACTCAAGATGCCCGAATGAGGACAGATTTGCTAGTGTTGCCTACCCAGTGCCTTCCAGTGGGTCACTTTGGGAGGACATATTCCTAAATGAACTACCTAAATAATTTGGAAAAACTTGGCTGTATTAACTGTTAAAAGACACTCAATGTATGTGAATGCATGGCTGGAATCTGGAAGAAAGGCAACTATATTAAGTTTCTGTAAATGAGCAGATTAAAGTTTTTATTTACACTTGAAGTTTCGGGTCTTGAAATGTTTAGTTATGGTCTTTTGTTTGCTAGAGATGGGGGTATATTTTTAATGGGGAATTTCAACACCTCATAATTAGTTTTCAGAATTTATGTTTTCTGAGAAATGGCTATTCCCAAAATCGTACTTTGAGGAAATTGTCTTCCAGTTATTTCATTTCAGACTAAATATATTGATTTTTTTACATTATTTTATGATATATAAGTAATGTTTTCAGAGGAGGCGGATGGAAAAAGCATATGTAGTGCTTTACTGAGATGTCATAATATAGTTTGTCTTGCTTTTAGAACTTCTGTGGTCAGATGATACTTTGTACTGATCAAATTGTACTGATCAAATTGTTCTGTATCTTTTTTCACAACTTAGAAGGTCTCCTGTTTGTGCTGAGATTAATCATATTAAAAGGCAGACCAAGAAAGGTTCAAAATACAGATCTGTGAGACATTCTGCACAGGATGCTGCAGAAGTTGTTTGAAGCATACTCTGAAAGCTTGCAATGATCAGGAGAGTGGAAAAAAGCCCAAAATCAAAACACAAAGTGAGACCTCCTTAGTGAAAGCAGAAGTGAAAAAAAAAATCCTGCCTTAATCCTGTGGTCGAGGATGGTGAAAACTTTATGTGGCATATAGTTATTACTAGCCCAGTAAGAAGTTCTCATTCAAGTTTTAATGTAGTATTTACTTTTAAAATGATAAGATTTACACTTTTGATCACACTTGAAAGTAAAGATATGAGTATTTACCTTTGTACTACACAAATAATGACTGTATTTTCTGAGGCTTTCGTTGTTCTGATAGACCTTTAAATAAAAAGCAAATAATTTAAATTTTTTTAAGTTCACATTTCAGAAGTCATGACTTTACAGACTATTCACACAGTACTTTTCTTAAAATGTCTCTTTTAACTCATTTAACAACAAAACAAAAATCAAATCCCGAGCCTGCTACTAAGAAAGGAGAATAAATTCAGCCATATCTGAGACTCCATGAACATAAGATTATTCTAAAACTCAAATGTTATCAGTGGGGGAACAGCAAAAATTCTCCACTCTGAAATGGCTTATAATGGACTTGTTTGAAGGACTTGGCCTCACTCATTTCAGGTGCATTTTCCTTTATTCTGGGACAGAATGGTAAACATGGGAGAAGAGGAACAGTGCTGATACCTAGAGTTTGCCTGACAAAGATCTTATCTAGTTCCTTCAGTTTAGCAAGAAGAGCCTTTGTCCCAGTGCCCTGGCCCCACCACACTCACCCAGGGTACATACCCTGACCCTGCCACCCCCACCCCACAGCCTGTTATTCAGTCTAGACACATTCCCAAGGGGTATTTCACTGGAAAGAACTCACTGAAGCAAGGCACCACTGCCTGTCAAGTCTCTGTGGAGAGACTCAGAAAGGCAAATCTTTTTCTCCTTTTTTCATACTTCACAGCAGTTTCTAAAAGTATTTTTGGAATCAGATTGCAACTTTGCTCTTCATAACATATTTTCAAATGTTGTAGGTATGGAAACACACGCACCAAACGTTGCCTGTTTGCATCTGGGGTTGCTCAACAGCAAGTAACATTGCAAAAAAATCAGAACATTCATGAAGTGAATGTATTAATTGAATTGCTTGGTGATATATGCTATCTTTGCAGTTGATTTAGTGTGCAAACAAGGAACCAGGGATTTGGGAATAAAAAAAAACTAACAGAAGAAAAACAAACAAAAAACCCAACAGTTCACTATGGCCAGAAAATTTGTATGCTGTGGCTCCAAGCCAGATCGAGCTTCAGACACCCGAGCACACAACCAAAAATGCTGCTGCTATCAGATGTAAAGCACTGAGGTAATACTATTTGATGCTGTCAGTGCACACCTGTCCAGAAAAGTATATCAATGATCAATAGTTTATAAAAAGGTCATATAAAAGCAAAAAAACTTTGATGATGTGTTAACTATATTGCTAAGCATTAATTGCACTGAAATGGTGCTTACCTGCATAATGCTTCTGCATCAAAGTATCTGGAATGCCTATGGTCAATAATGATAATGTCATGGTGTTTATCTAGAAAGCTTTCTAGTGCAGACTGAGGTGTCCTGGCAATGTTACATCGAAATCCAGCTTTCTCACATGCCCAACGGAACCCATTACTCTGGTCGTCTTCCTCAGCAAACACTAAAAGTACCTGCATTAAAGAATTACAAACAAATCTTACATATGCAGTATACAGAGTCTGTAACTTTTGCCTATTCTTAACATGTTTTTTAAAGCCACTTCCAAGGCTTAATCCTTAATTGGTTTTTAACAGAATTGCTTTCTACAGAGCACTGCTTTTTTATAATTGTCTGTATACAGAGGTGTTTCAAGTGGATAAAACAGTTTGCCAGAACCATGTACATCCACACGGGGAGAACAAGTTTGGAAAGTGTTTCTCTTGTCATTATCTACAAAGAGAGCTTAGGCAGCCAGCAGAGACTGGGTGCCTGCGTTTCAGACAGTGTACATGAACTAACAGCAAGTCAACTTCACCGAAACTGTCTCACACGCAACCATTTTCTTGGGGTTTATTTTTCTTGGATCATATTCTAGAAAAGGGAAAAAAAGGCCATGTTTCATCTTGTGTGAATCAGTACTCAGTGGTGCGTCCATAGCACGATGAAAAATGTGCTTTCCTTTTTATCTCATCCTAGTTCCCCAAAGTACTGGATGCTGCCCACTCTGTGGGGTTTCTGGAAATTACAGACAGGCTGGTCTAAATGAACTCAAGCCAGACTGAAATCATAAGTAGTACCTCTATATATGGAGTATGTCCCTGTGTGACTTCTACACAAAGCTTGCCATGGGATTTATATCACAGAAGGAGATTACCATAGTTGAAATCCAGAACTGAAGTCAGTTCTGTGAGCCAGTATTTGTTCTGTCCTAACTTGCTGTGTAATTGCCAATAGCTAATCTCTCCGAGCCTTTTTAAAATCAATACAATACCTATATACTAAAAGTATGATAAAGCCCAATTCTTTAGAAATGTATTCCAAATTCTAGGATTTAAAACAGTAGAGAAGATAAAGTCTGCTAAGGAGGACTCTTACTGATACGATTGTGCTTTGCATCAGGATAATGTTTTGCAGACAAAAACTTCTTTTGCCTAAAAGAATACAGCATGGCAGACTAAAGATCTGTGGTGTGTTGTTTTGGGGGATCACTCAGTACATGCAGCCTTTCAGGAAAGACGGACAAATAAACCAATTTGGTCTATTGTCCCAAGACACCAATCTTTAAGTAACTTAATCAAGCCACACTTAAATATATGCTTCAGTCAGACAATAATACGGAGCACACGTAACTCACACCATATCCTACTGCTGTTTATCTTCCGGATGATTTTAGGAACTCCAGTGCTAGTTATACTTTGGACCAGGTTGGTGAAGTGTCTACCAGTAAATCTTAACATTTCCATGTACTGCATATTTTTGTAAGACTAAAGGACTTTGTACTCGCTGAGTTCAGGTTCCTTTTATAGCAACCTGCAAAACTGTTTGCTATATTTAGTGAAGTTAATTTACAACACTCCTTAAGAGGGGAAGAAAGGTTTTCAGCAATAGCACAAAAAGTCAGCAGATCTGAGCAGTATGATTGACTCTGGCACAAATGAGATGTTGCTCAACTTCTCCTTTCCTCACACCTGCCAGCTATATTACCAGGATAAACCAGCAGCACTTCAGAGTGGCCTATGACTGGGCAAAAGTGATAAAAGCATTAATAACAATACAGGAGGCAGAAATATTCAAGAAATGTTTCTTATTTACACTGGGGGAACAGCTGGATGAGGATGTTCTAAAATCTGATGTTGAATAACATTACTGTCTGTTTTGAAAATAGCTCAGGAAGATGTTGAACTGCAATTCTCGAAGACATTTTTACATTATTAGGTTCAGATGGCATTCACTGAGGAGTTTTCTAATTACTGACTGAGGAATATCTTGGATGATTAACGGTTCAGTATGCCTTTGGGCATATGGGAGAATTTTCAAAGGAAGTCCAAAGGAGTCATGTATCTGCAAACCTCATACCCACCCCAGACAAATAAGGGGACAACTGACATAAGACCTTTATTAATAAAGAGACAAAGGAGGATTAATTAATGCCAGTCAGCAATGAACAGCAAAAAAACAAGTCATGAGAGCGGCGGGAATAATGGGGCAAGTTGGTTGCTGAGGCTAGCAATAGGGTGGTGGTGAGTCGGGGGAGTAGAGTAGGGGGAGGATTTGAGTGATAGATGGGGGGGAGAAGTTGAAGGGAGTGTTTTAGATGGAGGTGGGTTTACTGATTAAATTTAAGTGGTATTTATTGGCCGATTGCGACAGGCTATTTTTATTTTATAATTGATTTGAATCATTTTCTATTTTTACTATATTTATTTTATTTATCTATCTTATTTTTTATTTATATATTAAAATAGTTGACAGGCTTAGTATCAGTTTGATGAGATTTTGATTAAGAATTGACTACCAGTAAAATACAAAATGAGGCACTCACTAAATTGATTACAAGATAACTGATAGCAAAGAATATATAGCTCTATTTTTATGAGCTGACTGATGGTTGGAGAAAACAGGCAGGGTTTTTAGGATATCACATAGAATGTCAAGATAAAAATCTGTTATGTGCACATTATCACTTGATAAAAATGCTCTGTGAAGATCTCTGTACCCTGAAAAATTCCAGTCATAAATTTTAAGCTAACATCTGCGATGTTTTAGAAATCAAGACTTCAATTTGAACTGCTGTGTTACCTGAAGTTGATCTTGATGAAGTCTCATAGGGCCAAACTGCACATCTGTTACTGGTGCCTAAAAGAAATAAGAAGGGATCTTATTAATGCATTACACTTAAGAAGAAAGAAAAATTATCTCTGTTAGAGAAGACATTTCTTATCTACTACTGTCTCAGGGATATATTGATACCATAATGATGCTGCTTCTTCATGAGAGTCTTACTCTGGTTTTGTAAATTTATATGTTAAGTTGTATTAACAGAAATCAACAAGTTAGTGCTTAATTATTTTCTTAATTATTGTTATTTTAAACATAAAGTAATGGATTAGTCACGAAAGTCTGATAGACATTGTTATTTTTCTGTATCCTCTGTATCAGTCCAACTGTTCTGCAAAACATGGAAATGTTTAAAAATTCCATCTTTTAAAGTCCAAAAAAGCATTAAATCTCCAGGAGAAAGGCAAAAATACGTAATTCCGCCCTTAGAATTTCACATGGAACAGGTGCCCAAGGGTGCTAAAAAAACACAGTAATTTCATTTCTCCAACAGCATTTTTCTACATTTTCTCCTTCCCACCCAGTGCCTCCAGAGATGGTTCCAGAACTCAGATATTTGTACTTGACAAAGCAATGCAGCTTTGCTTTGAAAAACCCTGCAAAAACACTGTCATATGTCATGCTTTCTACATGTCAGTGATTCTCACATTAGGTTCTGATCAAGTAACACAGGCAAAGAGTTTAGCATGAACTGAGCTGGGCTCTTTCCCCTCACGTGTCCCTTCATGGAAAGGAGGGCAATGACAAGAAGTGCTGTTTATCACAGTTGCTTCTCTTTTATATCATTAATCATTAATTCAAGCTTGAATGACTCTTCAAGTGGTATAGGATAGACTTTCTAAAGTAGTTAAACACATAAATACAGAGGGAGACTGTAATAGGATTACACAGGGGTTGGTTCTTTGGGAATTCCCACAAGGCAACTATCAGCACTTTCAACGTGCTTAAATATTTTTCACCTCTTGTCCCAGAAATGAAAACTAAAAAGCAGGAACAGCAATGTTCCCAATTCAAAATAGGAAACAGAGACCAATCAATGGTCCTTGGAGTCACATAAACTCTTCAAAAGTAACTGGACAAAGAAAGCAGAAGAAAACAATTTTTGGCAATGCAGTAAACGGAAGACATCTCTGGATTCAAATGTGCAAAGAAAAGAGCTGTTGAGCACAAAGGTGGCATTTTTACATTGTTCTTTTTCAATATTAAAACCACACTTGAAGATCAGATTTATTGCTTTACAGCCTGGAATTTTTCCATTAAGTAATTTTAAACAATCATCAGCACATCCCACAGAAAAACCTTTTAGAATTGCACCCTCCATTCTTTCTATGACCTTACTGCTCCATTGCTCAGCCCTCAGAGTTTCTCATGTGTGATTTTACTTATTTATCAACTTGGAAGTCATCACTGCAACATTAAATAAGCAAGAAACATGAGTCAAGGAAAAATGGCAACCTAGTGCCTGCAAAAAAAAGCCAGGAACCAGTGTTTGTCTGTCTTGTTTAAGAGGGCCTTTAAGAGCTGATGTTAAAATGACATGGAGGGGTTTCAGATTTACTCAGTCATTCTGGTCAGATCGGGTTAGTTTAAATACTCTCCAATCTTTTTTCTAATTTTGAGACTAAAAATCTCTCTTCAGTTGGAAAACTCAAGCTGCTTTATTCTCCCTTGTGGCCCATCATCCAATTACTCTAAATCCACACTAGAAAACAGCAAATACTTTTGCTGATAATGCACACAGCAGGAGGGAATCCATCTCTTTCCACCAGGGTTATTGGTTTTATAGCACTGACAGTAGTAACTACTCGTCTGAATCAGTAAATCAGCAGAGATGCCTGAAGGACATGGAGGGAGAACATGTAAGACATGCCTTTTTACAGTCACTTCTCTGTCCATAACCGTACTTCAAATCAAATCCTGACACATTTTTTTGTACACTCCAACTGCCAGCATAAAACAGCAAGTGTTTCCAGTGTCACTGAATGATGGGCCTGAGATGAACTTCACTGGCATCTGAGGGGATGCAAACCCCCATCTACCAGGCTAGTGTACACTTGGACTATCAGTCCCAGTCCAAGGGGAATTTTAACAGATGAGATAAAGCCAGTATTGTCAGTTACTGTTTCTCAGACGCTTCTTTTAAAAAGTTTGTGAATGAATAGTCATCAAAGTATTTAAAGGACTGAGGCTGAAAACCACTTTTCTGCCAGAAATCTGTGGCTATTGCAGCACTGAAAGTACCTGTCTATACACCATTTAAGCTTAAATCAAAAGAACTGCCCAAATGAGATAAATTGTCTTGTTACACATTAACTTGCTGTCCTGAGTAAAAGAAAAACCCCTTCTGCATATCAGCTGGAAAATTCTGGTGAACTCCAGTTAATTCTTAATCCTGTTGAAATCTGTTCAAATAATTTGATTAATCATTTCAACTTTTTGTGTGCTGCTGGTAGCACTGAGAAGTAACATGGTGATTAAGTATTGTGTCAAAAATCAAGGCTTCAGCAAGGATTAGCAGAAACTCTCAACTATTGGTGAACTACATGAGCTTCAAAAATACCTCTAATGCTGCAAGCTTATAACAAAACCAAACCAGCCAAAGCTCACATATATAGTAACTGCACAAAAACATCTTTATTCACTCACACCTTTTTCTATTTCTTCCTTGAAATTTCTTTCCTAGTTGAAAAACAAAAGCCTGAGTACATTTCCACATTGGCAGACACGACTTACACATGTGACAGCCTTCTAGGCAGGCACAGATTGGTAAGAAAGGGTATGAGAAGACAGAGGTAGAACTAGTTATAGATTCCTGGAATTGACTGTGATAGGGCTGGGTCTGTTGCCAAAGAGCTGCTGACGCAAACCTAAGTGTACAGCATATGTGACTGTGGCTACTTCAAATGCTTACACACAGCAATTGCAGCCCTTTTACATACTCTGACCCGCTGAACTACTGCTGGTAGCACTTATTTTCCCTCAAATTTGCCTGTCTGGTTTGAACACCGTAGTTTCTGTCCTATGGAATGAGTCCTGGCCCCGGCACAAAGTAAGATCCACCCCAAGGCAATGGCACATGTGATTGACAGCTGTCAGTGGGGAGGTCATCTACTGACTGCTGAGAGCAGCTCAAGACTCCCCAGAAATTATCTGTGTTGTAGCAGCCAAGTTGCAAACATTGAAATTGTTAATAGAAATAGTTCATGTTTCCAATGTCCTGAGAAAAGTGAATGTTTGGTAAATAAAAACAAGTGAAATAAGCTTTAAAAACACAGACCCAAACAACTGTGACTTATCTGATTAAAGTACAACAAACTCAATGTTGACCTGATATAACCTGGTAAAGTACTTCTTGCTATGAGTCATTCTTCGTATTTTACCAGAACAGAGTCTACAGGAATGGGGTTTTTTATTCTTCCTACAGCTAGAAAAACTTTAAATGAATTTGCTCAATGAATAAATGCAGAAAGAAATAAAGGGTGGATATAAAGACAGCTTGATTCACATGCTCCCTGCGGTGATAAACTGCTTGTCTGGCATGTGGGACACATCAAAGCAGCCCACAGGTCTTCTATTTGCTAGAGGTCTCATATCTTGGTTTTCTCCAAAATGTCTCTTACCATGACCAACTGGAGAGGAGAGCAAACCTCCTAAAATTTTGGGCAGAGTCAGCCCCCAAAAAATCCTCTGGCTATTAACTTCCATGCAATACTCCTGCTATGGAGGGGCAAACACATTCCATCTGGAGGCAGAGCTTCTTAAGACACTTCTTTTTGTGGGATGTTTTAAAGCACGCACAGCCCAGGGTAACCCTCTGCTGCAGCATCACCCGCTCAGGAGAAGGGCTGGCAGGGAGCTGCCTGGCATCCTGAGGAATATTGTCTGAAATCCACAACTGTTCCATCACTTCCCTTCTGCCACAGATGGCGCTGCACAGATGACGGGAGTGACTCTTCCTCTGGGCGTGGAACACCGTGCACGGCCCTGGCCTCCTGCTGGTATCCCTCCCTAAAGGGCAGCTGGGAGCACTTCTGCTCCTGCTGCTCTTCTCACCTTTCCCAGGTCAGCACTTGCAGGTGGAAATGAACAGCTTATTTCTCCTGCAACTGACTTGAACAAAGAGGTGACATAAACTTTTGCTGAATGGATTGCAGATGGAAACTGCTGCTGTGGGGTTAATATGAGCATTCAGCTCTCAGCAGAGAATTTCTGTCAGCAGGGTAACACTAAGTAACTGCCTCTTCAAATGAAGACTTCAACCTCACTATAATATATGGTACAGATAACTACAGTGATTAGACATATTGACTTCATTGCTGGTCTTACTGGACTACAGTTCACAAAATTCATCATTTTACAGATCAATATTTTAAGGCATCACCAAAAATTCTTATCTAATTGTAAAATACATACTTAAATTTTCTACATATACTAGGTATGTGATACAGATCTGCATGAGTTGACTCATCAATAAGATTTGACATGAATAAGATATGCTGGGAGCCACAGAACTGTCAGCATAAACTGAATACTGATAATTCTAAGAAAAACAGAGATTCGTTTTACAAAGGAAAAAGTATGCTTTCTCTTAACTTGCCATTTTAAGCACAGATTTATCACCCCAGAAAATGAAAGCCCAAATTAACTCATAGATTTATACCATACCTTAAACTTTAATTGATTCAGGTTCTATTGCCTGAAGAAATTTGAATTTTGCATGATAATACACTTTCTTGGAAACCTTAGCCAAATCTTTCTGGATGCTGAAAACTGGGAAATAACCCACTCCCTATAAACTGGTATGACAAGGTCCAGGATCTTGTCCACTCAGGTCATATCAGGGCGGTGCTCTGTCTCAACAGAGAAGGGCTTTGTGACTTGGTGTGGCTCTCATTTCTGGGCAATTAAAGTCTTCATATTCAGGATCAGGTTTTCACAATTCACATTTTAATTTGCTTATAGTAATCTTTATCACTTTCTGAAATATATGAATACTAATCCAATCTATGGTCATTTAC